TTTTTTCATGATGTAGAAGAGACAGCACCGCATCCTTTTGCTCTGCTCCTTCCTTTCCCTTCTCCTCATCTTTCAAAAAAAGGGAGACGATGAATATCATGTGTGCCTCAGTCCTGCTATTGTGGATGTGCCTGTTCTGATGCTAGCTACAGTTCTGAGCCCTTAGATGCTGTATGACCATGAGTCTAACTTACAGCCTGTGTTTAAGGCAACCAGAGGGCAAAGAGCTGCTGTCGGTGGAGCGGTGTGAAAAAGTCAGGTTAACTAATGAACCTGGGCTGATAGCTGTGGATGATGAACAAGGATCATATTCTGTGTTTGGCTTTCCATAAGACTTTCCAATACAGCTGTTAAAGGAAGGATTGCATGCTAATGTGAAACTAAAGTGGTAAAATTATTCTGCTGCTGCCAGAAATAATCATGGGTTAGTAGTGCTCTGTTTTCATTAGTGTAACGAATCACCGTTAGTGACTTGATCTCCTGCTGGTGTAAATCATGAGTTACACTAATGAAGTCATTACAGCGAGACACATTTTTAACAAAAAAAAGTGATTAATCATGGAAAAAATTAGAGTGCGTAGTAGTAATTTTTCATCACTTGGTGGCTTGAGACTATGATGAAGCACTTTTTTCTAAGAGTTGTCTTAGTCAAATAAGTAATAGGGCTTGTTGTGGGGTTACTTGGGAGAGATCTTGTGGCTTCAGTAATACTGACTACATGATCTAGAGAGCTTTTCTCACCTTAAAATCAATGCATAGTTGGCTTATATATAATACAGGGAGGCCAGAATCCACTTCTGTCTATCATTAGAAGTTACTCTTTATTTGCAATGTCATAACTTTTTTCTTTTTTTTTTTTTCAACAGGAAGACCATTGGAGTTTTCTGTTGTGGGCCAAACAAAATCTCTAAGATACTTCATAAACTGAGCAACAGCAGCAACTCTTATGGGACGAGGTTTGAGTATAATAAAGAATCCTTCAGCTGAAAGTCTGTTGGACTAGCAAGACTCTCCAGAAGATAAAAGTGCAATTTTTTGTTTGTACAACTTTAAAGTTCAGCTGTGGTTTAAACAGACAGAAGTGTACCAAAGAATAGCACAGATTTTCTTATTTATGATTATTTAAGACTTTGGAAATGATGGGTACAGCAGTATACCAACAAATAATAAGTGCTTATGCTCAAAGCCAAATGCGCTCGCACATTGTGGCAGCAGTGATTCTTTGGAGTTGTTTCTGTTAATTAAAAAGTACAGAAGCTGGGGAGAGACACAGTTGCTTTAAAAGATGGAAGAAAGATGTTTGGAACATTTGAACTTCTTCCACTTCAGTCCTCTGAAGCTGGATCAGTAAACTAAACCCCAGGTTAATCCAAAAGACGAAACATAGTGTATTACAAAGACCTATTGCTTTTGTTGGTATACAAATCTGATGGCTTTGGGGTGGAAATGGTCCATACTAAAGATTTCATACATTGCAGAATTGGCATTCTGTATTTAAAATATAGAGTGTTACTCTCGCTAGCCTGCTTCTGTAACGGAAGTGAATATTCCCGCCCTGAATGGAAGAGAGGGTGGAGTATGGGGAAAGATGTAAGTTAACCTATGGAAAAGTGAGCACAACTGTGTAGCACCTGTGGGCAGACTCCACTGTGATGTAAATCACAGCCTTTTGGCAAGCAAACAGCTGTACATGGGGAACTCTCTATCTTGCATCGATACAGCATTCAGTGAGTTTGCAAAATAAGTGTGATTTATGCAGCCAGAAAGATGGAGCAAGAAAAGCAATTAATGGGAGCGGACAGGATATGATGTTTTATTATACCACACGCTCAATGTGGAAGTTGCACTCATTCTGCACTCACATGCCGTGAATGTCAAATACTTCAAACATTCATATGCTCTTACTGATTATTTTACAATGCAGCAAGTTGAAATCCAATTTTAGAGGTGCCAGAGTATGTTTGGTTGACTGTGATCCTTTGAGTACCTTCCCTGGAGTCACACTTGTTTTCACTGATGTCACTGAAAGCAGGATCAGGCCAGAGCTACAGCAGAGTAAGAATGAAGCCTTCATTACTGTGGCTTTTTGCATCATGTGTGCAGATAGAAGCTTTGCAGGAGCTGCAGCATGGTTTCAGTATGTTCCAAAGGGGAGGATCTGAAACATCCAAATTTAATCTCCCCTTCCCTTCTCCTCCCCACAGCTGTTTTCCACTCTGCTCATAGTTGCCATGGAAGGGCTAGAGGTTGAAAAGGCACTTTCAAAATGTTTGGTTCTGTGGAGCAACCTTTTTTCCTCCATCCAATAGCTGATCCAACTTCCTTTATTTCTTCTTTACCCCCTTTACCTTTTTTTGCTGAGAAGGCAGCTGAGAAGGAGGCAGGCACTTAGGTGGCATAAATAGTCATCATTCCAGTGCATCTTAATAGAGCAGCGTTGCTTTACACTTGCTGAAAACCTGCCCCTTAATCTGCAGCAGAAGCTTGGGAGCAATACCCTGTAGTGCTTGCAGCACACACAGGTGTAAGATGGCTCAGCATCTCTCATGCCCGTGGTTCACCTGTATTTAGCACAGTGTATTTGATTCAGTTTACAGCTTTCCAATGAATACCATTTTTATTTTAGTAGGAAAGACACTAATTTTCAGCTCGCAACACAAACTCTGTACAGGGGTCTACAAGTATCAGTATCAGTGTTCAGAGGGAAGCATTTTTCTAGGAGGTGGTGTATAGGCATGTTGTATGTGTAACTAGTGAAAATGAGTTTGGTCTTTGCCTTGGCAGCTTCTGCTCAGGAATTGCCCTCAGTGGAGCAGCAGGGTGGAGGTGCAGCAGTGAAGCCAATGGGGACATTTTCCTCAGTGTCTGGACATTGCAGTGAAGTTTTTACCTCTGGCTCTGCCCAGTTTGAAATTCAGGGGGGAAGGAAAGAGCCAGAGGTGGACGTATTGCTATTGATGAAAATTCTCAAAGTAACCTAGAGGAGAGAGAGGAGAGAGAAGCCAAAATAGAAATGCAGTGTGAGATGGAAGCCTACATTGCAGCTACTGATTTTAATTTTTTTTTTTTTTTTTTGAGGCTGGAAGAATCATTATTTTCCCATTGGATCTCATTCATCCATCACTGTAAAATGGGAGGTATGCAGAAAAGGATTAAAACCTTTTTAATCATTAATATTTCTTTCTAATACTGCCTGCATGGGTTTTATAACAAACATAACACTGATGGCAAAATGCATAGATATCGGGTATTGCCGATACTGCAGGCTTTTTGGGTTTTTCTTGTTTGCTGGCAGTTAGCTTAAAGCGATTGAAATCATGACTGCATCTATTAACCACAACCAGACAGTGATCTTTTTGCGCTTGTTTTAGGATTTGGTATCTAACAGTTTTTAAATATGGTTTAGAGTCATCCAATCACGATGTTGTTTGTGATTTCACATCTCCTCTCTGATAGATATGAGTTCCATTACCGTATAACGAGCAGCTAGTTTTGCAGTTAGCTCTGTGCTAAAACAGTTTGTATTTTCTGGCTCAGCTCCTATATAGGTAGTGCTTTGTAATTAAAATAATAATACTAGTACTGTGCTCTTGTTCTGCACTGTAGCAGGAGCTGACGCTGCGTGTAGGCATGTTAAATGCCTGTTGTTGTATTAGGCAGTGCTGTCAGAGCAAGGCACAAGCAGAGCCAGGGTCTCCTCTTTCTGCCTTTGTCCTGTACCAACCTCAGCTGACTCACCTGTAAAACAGGCTTGGGACTGTCTACCTTTCTGGAGTGTTGTGAGGCTTAATTAATGTTTCAGGATCACTTCAGTGCACCTGCAGTGAAAAGGTCTGTCTAATTGCTACACAATTCTATTTGTATTTTATTTTGTGTAAGGCTTTGTCTGACCAAACCTCTGTTTTGCTCGTGTGAGTAATTGCTAAACCAGGTGAGGGTGAGTTTGGGGAAAGGCTAAAAGCCTCAGTTGCTTTATTAGAGGGGCAGAAAGTTTAAGGGTTAGTAACTGTGACTTGGCTTCAGAAGTGGCAGATATTATGATAAACACGGTCTTTCTACAGGCTGCATTGTCCTTGCTGCTTCTGCGTGTGTCTCCAGCTTACAAAACTGAGCTGAGCCCTCTTTTAAACTCCATAGCTTTTTTTATCTGTAAGCCAAGTGTACATGAAAATATAGCTCCATGCCAGGCAAGTAAGTGAAGGCTGACAGCACTTAATTCCACATTTACAGATCAACTGGATTTACGTAACTGAATGTCTCTTTACGCTTTAAGCTGAGTCCTGTATGTGGGTCTGTCATAAGTGTCCTGCTGGCAGGGGAAGGATCCTACCATGTATTCTGCCACTTTTCACTCAGCCTGTCACAAAACTGCAGACCCCTCAGTGTTTGCTCAGTGGGATCTTTGTGTTTTATTCATCATAAAAGTTTCAGGACTTTTCTTTAAAACAGAAGTGTTTTCATGCCATGGTGGAAACCAAGCCCTTTCTCTGCAATGGGAATCCAGCCCTCATACAGCAGTGTGAGACTCGGGGCTTTACACAGCTAACAGCTGGACTAATCACATTTACCTGAGAAATCCTATTCCCATAGCACTGAGATTACTTGGGTGAGTAAATGTTCACTGCCGTAGCAAAGGACTGCAGAGGTGAGCCCTGGTGGAGCATGGGAGGGCCTGATGAGGAGCAACCGTCACCTCTGACGTCTGAAGGACAGCCTGTCCCTCCATGATGATTATTCCAGCCCTGAGTTTGGAGCAACACGTCCCTATTTCAGCATATGGTACTAATAGCATGTGAGTTCTTCCCTGGTCTTTTATCTGCTCCTCTAGGAGACAGGACTGAAAGGAGTATGAGAGATCACTACACACAGCCTTGAACCTGGGCTGGGGAGAGGACACCAGCGCGTACCACAGATGCCTAGCTGGCGACTGCACTGCATAGGGTAGGAAGTTTCAGCCAACTCCATTTTTCTGCAAAATGCCAATTGTTTTGCTACAACAAACTAGAGAACAGTTGCTGTAAAGGGAAATGAGATAAACCCTCTCTCTGTTTGAAGACTCCTGCCCACACAAGCCTGATGTGAAGATGTGTGTGAAAGCACTGCGCACATTCAGCTTCCACTAGCACTGTGTCACACACACACTGCATCCCGATCACGGGCTTACTCCCGCAGCACTGAATCCCTGTCATTTTCTATGGTTGCAGATCTTCGCCTATCTTGTTAGCAGATGTGCCTTGCAGGTGAGAGAAATACTACATATGCTTGCATCTATGCCCAGAGTCTGATATAAGCACAGAGCAACCTGTGAGCATGCCTTGCAGCCAGCACAAGCAAGTGCAGAGTCATCCCTTTGCTTCTAATGCTTCTAGCACATAGGTGAAAAAGCAATTTGGAGCTGGCTGAGAAGGGGCAGATAGTACAAGTGGCAGACCAGCTGCATTGGGAACAGTAATTCAGCTATAACAGCCTAACAGAGCAGAGAAGTAATCGTTTGGTAAGAAATTTGCTTTTAGAACAGCTGCCTAAGAGAAAAGCCTCTACTCAACACTAACACACCGGGTTATAGTTTCAAACTACAAGATGTTGCTTAGAGAAGCAGGCAGAAGGCTAGCTAGTCATTGCCTATAGCAGTTCAAGCCATGTAAGTCAGAGAAGAGACATCGTTATTAAAATGCAGTGTTTACTTTTTTAAAAAATAAAAGGGCTTCTAGGGAGATTAATTTTCACTTCAGCCTGGCAATCATTTTGTAAACATGCCAGTGTGATTTAAGACAAGCTGGATCTGTTCTTCTCTGGATTATGCATCTGATTTGTCTTTAGATTTCCCACCCCTCACAAATAAAACCAGTTTTTATTGTTTTAACAAAGAGGATTTAACAGCAAGGTTTAATCAAAATGCCACTGGTACCCATGCTGAACTGAGCTTTTGTAAATGAATATACATTTTTCAGGGATATATATATAACACAGCTGACGACTCAACTCTGAATGGTGATTTGGGGTTTGCATCGTCTCTGCTGCTGGTGTATTTCATTAAGGTCACTATAGTGATGCACTGGTGAACTGCATGGAGCTGAAATGAGACTCTTCATTCCCATAAAGAGCCTGATATTTTAGTGCCTGTACTAAGCTTAGTAAATCCCAGAAACTCTGGAATTTCCTTTGTAAGTACAGTGGATTAATTAGCCAGCATCTTTTATGGTTAAACCCTGAGTCCTCTACTGGACTGACATGTATAATGAATGCTATAACACAAAGGTTTTGAGCAACAAATGCTGCTCCTTAATGGGCTGGATGAGTATTTGTCAAGGTTTAGTATCCTGCTAGTTGTATCACCCATGTTGCAAGAGGGATGGGATCTGTTTTGGCACTGTTGAATGCTGTGCACTTCCTCTGATGTTATAAGTATCTCCAAACTTTCAGTGCATGCTCCAGGTTCGCCGTG